CCCAAAACCCAAACACTAAACCCTAAACCCCCAAACCTCAAGAACAGACTAGACCCAAAGCCCTGTAGGATTCGGTGGCTCCATCGAATACTGGCGGCGCACTTTGCCAGCTCTCTCGGCCGCCGGCTACACGGCGCACGCCATGGACCTGCTGGGGACGACCAGCTGATGTTAGGGTTTAGTTTAGGGTTTAGGGTTTAGGGTTTAGGGTTAAGGGTTTGGCCGGCTAGCTGTAGTATCTAAACCCTAAACCCTAAACCCTAAACCGAATAATGTCAAAAGATACTTCCCCTTTGATAGTCTCTCGACAGTTATAATTGTTAATAGCTATTTTAGGGTTTAGGGTTTACGGTTTAGGGGTTTAGGGTTTAGGGTTTAGGGTTTTATAATATACTATGACTACAACCAAACCATATTTGAATCATTCCGGTTCTGATGTCAGGGATGACTGTAGTACTAAAGCCAGATTCAACAGCTCAGGAGTTTACTGCGCTTAATCATAACGACCCTCTAAATGTAGTGCTGCTCTGCCATGCGACGGAGGTTGACCTGAAAGCCTAAACCCCAAATCCCAAGTCTCCGCGTCCTTAACCCCAAACTCCAACCTCTGAATTCCAAGACCTAGACCCTAAACCCAAAACCGCAGGGAAATAGGACTTCAACAAAAATACCTAGATTTCACCCCAAGCCCTAAACCCTAAACCCCCAACCCTGAACCCTAAACCCTACGCTTTGTATCACAATGCTAACTCATGGCTCTTCCAACGCCGGCCGATCCCGAGGTTAGGACTCTCTGAGAAGCCCAGTCTTCCCTACAGCATCGAGTTGTGGGCTGAGCAGGCTGGGTAGTTCGAGGTTTAGGGGTGTGGAAAAGACATGTTCTTAGCTACAGGTAGAAAAGAAGTGATGTGAAAAAGGCACCTCGAGAGTACTATCCGCATTACTACTTCTCTCTGTGATGAGTTATTTCGCACTTGTTGGTGTTTGGGCACATGGATAGTTTTCTGAATTCGGGTCCCTTTTGGGGTCCTTTTTATTAGGGTGCCATACTATATTGGGTACGTACAAAAGAGACTCCAATTTAGAGAACTACCCACATATCTGGCGATCGTCCTACAGGGCTCTAGGGTTCTCGTTTGGCTTCGGTGGAATGACAAGTCCTGCCTACTAAGAGTAAGGAAATCACAAGCAAGTAACATAAGGAGCCTTTGTAGTTAGATTAGGGTTTCGGGGTATATCATACAATAATACCGAGGTTCAGTGGACACCACCTGTTTGGGACGGTAAGAGTAGTATTCATCTTTGTAGATGCGCTACAATATACCCCCGAACCCTATGTGAAGTCGACTCACTTCGTGCGGCACCAGTTTCCCATGGTTGATTGTGAGCGAACAGCCAGGGAGCAGGGCTAAGTGATCGGATTTACCAGTGACCCAACCATTTAACCCTAAACCATAAACCCTAAACCCCTAAACCCTAAACCCCTAAACCCTAAACCCTAAATGCTATGCTACGATGACATTTCTTGTGTTGAGGTGCCGTCAGGCTCGCTGGCCTTCATGTTTCAGTTCGCGAGTCTGAAAGAAAAGCAAAAGATAGAGCGATGGCACTTCAAGTACTTTGGGTCCTTCAACAGTACAGAAGATGCGGGGGCATGAAGGCACCGCAGTAAGTAAAGCCTGAACCCTAAACCCTAAACCCTAAACCCTAAACCCCAAACCCCAAACCCTAAACCCGTACTGTAAGCCCGATAGAACTCTTGCAGTAACCCAACCCTTTGGCGATTGAAAGGTCGCTGACTTCTGTGAGAAGCTGGATGGCGGTTCCAACCCGGATGCATCTCGGATGCAGTGTGTCGAGCTTAGAACTTAGGGATCTGTGTTTGGGATGTAGGGTTTTGGGTTTGCTATTTGGGGTCGGTTTGGGATTTCACGTTCTGGGTTTGGGATATGGACCGTTCAGGTGCACCACTTAGGGTGTACGCATATGGATTTTAGGGCTTTGGTTAAGTGTTCAAGATTTATTAGCCTTTGAGTTATGATGCATGAATCCCTCAGTCGCGGCATTATGCCTTTCAAACCAACCCCCTTAACTTCCACACCCCACACATTGAACGGGCCACCAGCTTCAAAACACGCGAGATTTAAAACAATTCCGACGCTAGCCGTTTCACAGACCTCGGGTTGAGTGAGCTCAAAATAAACCCAAAACCCTAAACCCTAAACCCGAGCCCTAAACCCTAAACCCGAACCCTAAACCCTGAACCCTACACCCTGAACCCTAAACCCTAAACTCTAAACCCTAAACCGCTCATCGACCCTGAAGCCACAACCATGACCACACATCCGAAAAAGGCGAGATCCCAATAGGGTTTGGGGTTTGGGGTTTAGGGCGAGATCCCAACTTGAGGTCGTACTGGTTGGGAACTCCTTTGGCAGCTTGATTTCTCTGGTGGCTGCTCAGAAGACGACCCGGACGAGAGGGTGGCCGGACTGCTTGAAAGGTTATTAGAAGCCTGAATGATTACTAGTTTACAAATGTTATTGTTGAGGTTTCCCTAGTCTCATCATACGATAATCCACTCCAAAAACCGTATTCTAGCTGTTAAGTGATGTAGCGCCACCCGCAGTTGGCCAAATCCGAGGGTCGCGTGTTGTTGGTGTTGGTGTCCAGGGTCAAGAACCTAAGCCCTAGACCATAAACTTGGGTTCAATAGAATATAAGACCCTAAGCCCTAAACCCTAAACTGTAACATAGGATTTGGGAGCCCTAAACTCAAAGCCATGGGGCCCAGAGCTCTCCCAAGGATCGTGATGTTGAATTGCGCGGTCGGCATGAACAACAAGAACATGTCGGAGTCTTAAGCCTGTGCCCTTGTTTTTGGTTTAGGGGTTAGGGTTTAGGGTTTAGGTTTTAGGGTTTAGGACGTATTTTTCCACTTGGGTGTGATATAGAGCCAAGGGGTTACGAAACCTGTCGTGCGCATTTTGAGCCGGAGTGGGCGCGAGGGCCTGTAGAAAGCGTGGTTCGCTGAGCGCAGTTTTTTTTGCATCAGCGCTTTTTGTCTTCTCTAAGCTGCAGGCTCAAATCGCCCAGCATGGGCGGACTGCAAAAGTGGTTCGCTGGGCTTGTGCTTGGCCTGGTGGCTGCTGGGCTGAGTTAGTACCGCCCCAACGTTTGACTTGAATGATTGCTAGTAGTAGTAGACAGTATACCTTTATAGTCCTTTTATAGTTTTAGTATAATGCAACCCAGAACCCGGTTCGTTCGAGTAAAGGCCCCAACATGATATTCCTAAGATTTCCTACGTTGAGTCCAGAAGAATATACCCCTAAACCCTTAACCCCAAAGCCTATTCTGACCCTAAGCCCTAAACCCTAAACCGAGGACGCCATTTTCAAGTCCCCGATCTTAGACTTTATCTTCGCGAGGTTTGCGACGGCCGAGAACGCGGCCTGGCCAGGCTTCTTAGGTTTCGGGATTGCCCAAAACCTAAACCCCTAAACCCTAAACCCTAAACCCCTCAACCCAAACCCCTAAACCCGAAACCCCCATACCCTAAACCCTTAAACCCGAAACCCCTAAACCCTAAGCCCCTCAACCCTGAAACCCTAAAGCCTAAACCCGAAACCCCCAAACCCTAGACCCCTAAACCCCCCTAAACCCGAAACCCCTAAACCCCTCAACCCTCAACCCTAAAACCCTAAGCGTTGAGGGAGAATGTTTTGGAAGATACAAGCTCTTTGTAAAGCCATGGATCCCCCTAAACCCTAAACCCTAAACCCTAAACCCTAAACCCTAAACCCTAAACCCTAAACCCTAAACCCTAAACCCAAGGATGCAACCCCACAGGCCCCTCATCATTGCTGCTCCGTCACACAAGTGGGGCATCCTGGCAGCGGCAGAAATGCAGGGATCTGCTGTCGGACTGCCCCAGTCACCGCCCGGGCAGCCCCTCTGTGACGATCAGGTAGTCGCAGCATACTTCTACCGGCGCTGGTCAGTTAATGACTCTCTCGGAGGCGGTAGCTTTGCTGCCTTGGTCATCAATAAAATGCACTCCTCCCGGCGCAGCTCATCCTCCGGAGCCCTGATCAGCCACAAACCCCGGCGGCCTGGAGGTATGGGTCCGCCCCTTCCTGCCAGTACTGGACACCAAATACCCGCTCATGGCGGTCATGGAGTTGAGTTGAGTAGCCCACTACTTAAAGGATCATGGGACTTAGTAAGTAGGGTTATAACTAAGGTGACTATACTTACAACCCCAATCACAGGACTTAGAACCTTATTTACTAAGTCCCATGACCCTTTAAGTAGTCATCACCCTGCATAGGCTGCGGCAGAAAATCGGAGTGGGAGTGTTGCTCCGCCTCGGTGGGCCTATACGGCGCTGCTCTCTCCGCACCACCGGGAAGCTGTCGCGCAAAGCCTCCAAGCTCTCCCCTCAACAGCTGGAGCTGTAGGTGAGCATCAAGGGACCGCCGTACTGACAAAGCGCTAGGACGGAGGAGGTTGTTTGTTTACATGTATGTTCGCATGTTTTTGTCTATGTTAGCTCCTTTTTTGTATCGCTTTGTTTTTGTGCGTTTGTCTGGCGTGGGATGCAAAGCATCACATTTGGCAGGTGCTTCTTTCTGGAAATGTTCTGATTTAGGCAAACCGTCGTTTTTAACAGGAAAGGTGTTTGTGGTTTGGTACTGCTGCGATCACTCATGGAAGAAGGCTTGGCAGATGAGGATCTGAGGCAGGTGGTGAGTCCGGTGAGAATGACGATGATGGTCAGGATGACGATGGCGATGATGGTGACGAAGATGCCGGCTATTTTTTGAGATGTGTTTCGTCTTCGTCCTTGGCTTCTTCTTGCTTTGCCACCTGTCCTTGTCCGGCTGCAATCCTAGGTGGGTCCCGTGCTCGAAAGCTTATACCCGACGAACCCAGCAGCGGTGGACGCTGAGATCGTTAGCAGCTTTGCATCTCGGCCTGGGTCGATCTCAAGGTACAGCCCCCTTGCAGTAGCAGATACCACAAGGGACTAGTGCAGGTGTATGAGGCGGCTACAGTTTCCTTCTGAAGAAGGACTGTTTCTGTAAGAGGGTAGACCCAAAGTATATTTCATCAGTCGAGGTGTCCGGGCACTACGGTTCCGACTGCACGCGCGAAATTGTAACCCCGAAGCCTGCTTCGGTTTGACCCTCTTGCCCAAACTCTTACCCTAAACTACCAAAGTTTATAGTGTATACCGGTCTTGCAGTTACTATTGCTGTACGGGAATTAAGACTACCATTACTATTACGATTGTAACTGTTATGGCCATGATATGATTTTGATTGTTCTGATCTTTGCTAGGATTCATGTTAAGTACTGCTGCTATAACGACTGTTATATTTTGGTAAGTATTCTAGTATTACTGTTTTTGTGTGTATTGCTTCTAAAAAATTTTAGCATGATTCGTATTAGTATTAGTATCCGTATTCGTAATCGTACCAGTATCGGTATTAGTATTAGTACCAGCATTAGCATAAGCGTTAAGACGAGGATCAGCATTAGTATTCGTAGCATTATTTATGTCACTATTCTTATTCTGTTTCCAAGCATAGAGCAAGACCCTCTAAACCCTTAGCCCTAAATTAGGCTCAAACCAACCCCAAGCCCTAAACCGTAAGCCGTAAACCGTAAGACCTCAACCCTAAACCTCTAAACCCTAAACCCTAAACCCGAAACCCTGGACCCTAAAGCCCAAATCNNAAGCCCTAAGCCCTAAAAGCCCTACACCCTAAAAAACCCTACGCCCTAAACCCTAAACCCTAAACCCTAAAAGCCCTAAGCCCTAAACCCTAAACCCTAAACCCTAAACCCTAAAAAAAGCCAAAAGCCCTAACAAGGTAAAGCCGGCCGAGACCCCAGGGGCCCTGGAGGTCTTGCGCCAGATTTACACGGGAGACCCAGGGCCGCCTTTTGGCCGCTTTGGGGCTTGTTAGGGTTTAGGGTTTAGGGTTTAGGGTTTAGGGTTTAGGGTTTAGGGTTTAGGGTTAGTATAGGGTTTAGGGTTTAG